TAATGGCGCCACTACTTTTGGATTGCCCTAAGTAGTTCGATTATTTTCTTGACAAAGTTTTTATATTTTATACGTGTATATGTGCATTTACACGTGGTTGTCAACTATGAAAAGACGCATTACAGTCAAAAAAAAAATTCTTATTTTTCTTTTTCTTTGTTGACTTTCTTAGCAACATGAAAAATTTACCTTGGACGACAAATATTTATATTTGCTCTTTTTTTCTTTGTGCAAGAGAAGGTAAACTTCATCGCAATTCATCATCTGTAATATTCTACAAAGTTATTTGACTATTTTCATTTCTAGTGAAATGAGTTCATCTGTCATTAATCAACTTTGTGAAGAATTCCAAAGACAAACAAAAACAGTTACCGTTGATCAAGTCAAAACATTTTGTGATAATATTCTCGTTCAATTTAATCAAAGCAATGATCTAAATAATGTCACTCTACTAAACATAGTAGTAAATGTTTTACATTCGATTAAAAAGGAACAAATGAATGATCCTTATGTATTAGATCATCCACTTTTTGTTACTCTTCGCGATACTCTTATCTCATTTTTACATGAGAATCAAAATAATCAAACAATGTATCAATTAGCCAAAGACATTTCAAGCTTAATTAGTAATATAACCATTAAATTCGTTAATACTTATGTAGATATATTCAAACGATTATTGATATACAAACCATTAATTAATAAAGTCAGTGAAGGTATCAATAAATGTGCTCAGAATATAGGAAATGTATCGGAAGAATTCATCGAAGTTCTAAATAATCTACTTTTTGCATATGAAAGACTAATTCACAAGCGACTTGACATTCAAGATGATCCTTCGATAACAATACTTTTCGAGTCCGTGGCAAAATGTTTTGTATCACATAATTATGAAGAAATGCTTGAACATGTCGGAGAACATACAGAAATGAGTATACGCGAAGAATTCTTTTTTGCAAGATGTCCACTTTTTTTACATCAATGTCGAAGTCAACATCGTAGACATATATTAAATGATGTTCGAAAAATTCTTCTTCCACTTTTTAACAAACGACTTCCATTGAAACAAATAAATAAATCAGTAATTATGGTATTAGGTTCAATCTGTGCCGTTCTCTTTATTTGTTCTTATGGTATAATGAATAATGAAGCATTTTATGATCAATATGAAAAATTATTATCTCATCTAAATGAAATGCTTTCTAATGTATATTCAATTAGAGGTGAAAATGATTTAATCAAGATTGAATTAATACAAGAAATTGTTGAGCAAATGTCAAATTTCATTTCTATCGATCAATATATTGGTAAAATGAAAGAACTTCAACTTAGTGCAAGACTTCTTACAATAGTCGACGATATTCAAGATGAAGCTATACATTTTCAAATTTATCGTATTCTAGCAGCAATATTAACAGAAAAAGATATTAAAACACTCGCATCACCTGACAAAATTGTTACGATTTTTCTTAAAAAAATTATTAATATTAGTAATAATATTTCCGAACGAGAACCGCTAAGTAACATATTAATAGCTGTAAAAAGTGAGTCATTAAATTTATAAACATAGATAACAAATTGTTATTTATAAAATTTCTTTTATAATTTCATGAAAAATAACATCATTATTTCTCAAATTTTGTAAGAAATCAAATGAGAATGTTCGTATTTGTTTGTAATAGATATTAGAAATATATATATATTTCAAATCTATTCGATTTCATAAATCAGTGATTTAACGTGTTTTAATTCTGTTCTGCATAGGTCTGGTACAACACGATCAAATTAAAGATGAAATTGTCAAACAACAAGGATTATCCCTTTTAATACGATGTGCTACCGAACCAGAACTTATAGAACAAGGTGAAGGCAATCAATGGTCGCTTGAGATTTTACTGGCTCTTACATTCAACAAAGAAGCATTTAATAATATCAAAAATAATACTGAATTCATTCAGCATCTCAAAACCTTACTTCATTCTACAGATGACGATGAAAAACGATTTGCAGAAAGTATTTTGTGGAAAATTGAACAAGATAAAAAAGATGTTGAATCAACAACTGTTTCATCTAATGATCAATATGATATTATGCTTAGCTATTCACATCGTAATAAAGATCTTTGCTATGCTATTTATGATCGTCTTATCAAAGATGGTTTTCGAGTATGGATTGATCGAGAAAATATGTATGGATCTCCTATGGATGCCATGGCTTATGCTATTGAAAATTCTAAATATATTCTTGTGTGTATGTCTGAAGCATACAAACAAAGTCCCTGTTGTCAATTAGAAGCTCAATATGCATTTCAGAAACGACGTCCACTTATTCCATTGGTCATGACTCAAAGATATAAGCCAGATGGATGGTTGGGTATTATTGTCAGTGGAAAAATATATATCGATATTCCTAAACTAACAATTGATTCCGCTTATCTCGCCCTCAAAAAGGAAATCAACGCATATCTTAAACAAAGAAATACAACTGAAGAAGTATCATCTCAAAAAACACCATTGGTTCACAATTCTGTATCACAAATTCCTACAACATCAAAAACTCTTCCGATCACTGGAATGACATCTGACGCACAACGATCGATTGTGTAAGTGATAATCTTTTCTCTTAATTTAACAATAGTCAATAGTTAATAACTAAATTTGTATAAGTGACACATTGATCTTTCAAATATAGATTCTGTTTTATATATATGTATGGAACTTGAATGTTTTCAAAGGCCAATCAAATATCTCATTCAAAACAATTTGCTCTGTTTGAAAACCTAATCTGTTTTGTTTTTTCTTATAAGAAGAAAAAAGTAACGCATAAACAAAATATTAGAAAATTTTGGATTCGTTGTTATTATTGTTTTTATTACCTCCAGAACTGGTGAAAAAATTAGAAAACATATGAAAATCTTACAAATCTCATTTGAAAAATAACTCTTAGCTTATTTGATCATGTGACATCAAAGAAATTCTGACGATTGTTCAAATTTTTTTTTGTTAACAGTTAGTAAGTTATTAAATAGTTTGATTTGTTTTTATTAAAATATGTCACGCATCTATATTCAGACTATGTCTGCTAAACGATAAGAAAATTCATTTCAATGTATAAATTTAAATTTTGGATCTAAATCTGGTCTTGCTTAGGTGCTTTCACCGTCTGAAGATCCACGGAAAATTTCGTATTGAAGATAAATTACCGAGCAAGAACTTTTTTATGCAGATGAATAACTAAAATGTGGTTTATCATAAAAGACAAATCATAAATTTTGTTTCAACACTTAAATAAGCTCATAATATATTGATATATTCCAGAACTTGAAACTCTTTGTTCAGTTATTACTTCGAGAGACTTGCTCCAAAATTGAAGAATCTTCAGTATCTTACTAATTTATTATTAGCAAGTCAAAAAATTGAATTATTTATGTTCAAAGGAAATATCCGAATTGTATCGATGAATGGAGTGATGATCATATTCGTTCTTTCCTAATGGAAAGAAAACTAACTAGTCTTTTACCTGTTGTTGTTGATATGGATGGTTGTGTATTACACATGATGTATTTAATGTGTATGGAGAATCCTCAATCAATGTTCGATCGACTGAAGGCTGATACAACCAACGAACATCCATTGAATATGAGCATATATTTACGTTTCCTGCATGACATCAAACAATATGTACCGAATATGACTGATAAAAAATCGCGTAAAATTTCCTCGATTTGTCATATCTTGTAACTTTATTTATTTATTTATTTAATAAATATAGTAGTTGAAGATTGGCAGGAATAAAAACCATTAATATGTTGAAAAAGGTATGTTTGTGACATAATATTATTCTAACGTGATGAAACTTTATTATGACAGAAAGTCTAATAGAGATTTCCTAACATCCAAAATTCAAGATCAAAATGAAAGGTTTTGTTTATGTTGAAAATCGTCTATATTGAAAGAAAAGATCAGTAAAAGAAGACTTCAATCTTGAAATTTCGAACTGAACGATGAACAATAAAATTGATCCAACCTTGAGTAGAAATATAATACCATGATTCTGAATTGTTGTCGTCAAGCTCAATATAAAGAACTTTGTATTGGTAACATCGTTGATTTTTGACAGAGGGAAAGATAGACGCTCACATCCACACCCCATCCCATGAAAAGCAAAACTATAAGCTTTCGAGAGACTTATAATATTGAATCATAATGGATCTTTGATATAAGAGATAAAATTTACTTAAAAACGAGAAGAACTCTTCGTTCACCTGATGACGATAACTCGTGGTTTGATTGTTATTTCTCGGTTCTTTCCGTCTTCGAATATGAATATTTCTTGAGATTCTTATCGATCTCAATATGTTTATCTTTTCTTTATTTAGTTGCATATCAAAAGGTAGAATAATGACGAAGAATGATTCAACATAAAATGAGAAGGCATAGCAGATTGAAAGCAATTAAGCACATATTTTTTCTAATTGATAAAAATAATATATACATGTATTTATTGTTGCCTATTTTTGTTTGTATTGTATTCGTAAACAATGAAATATGATAAAAAAAAATCGATAGAGGTTCAATCGAAATATTCCATTGTTTTGATTAAATATTTATTTTGTTATCATGTTTCATTTGCAGATGATGAAATATAGGATAACAGAAAACTTAATTGGAGTTTTATTGACATATTTATTCTTTTATTTTTCAAAAAAGCTTTTTCCCAATGAGTAAAATATAGGAGTGGAATATTATCTATTCATTATTAAATGATCGAGAAGTATGAATCCTTTTATTATTCATTTTAAAAAATTAAGAAACTCTAGTTTTTGCTCAACTGTATCTTCTATCCTAGTGAATGTACTCATCAAGAGAGTACTCAAGGGTTTTGAGCACTTATTAGTAGTACTCGTACTAGAATCTGAGTAGGATAATCTAGTACTCGCCGTGTAAAATCGAGTGTTTCACGAGTATTCATAATACAATTTTTGTGCACTCCAGTTGTTTTTTTTATAAAATACTCATAGACCTATATCCTGTTCAGTGTTGTTATACTATATCCAATTTATATAATTATAGCATTCATTATGTATTACAGGTATATTATGAAACTTTGAGAAGTGAAGATGTTACACTATGTTTATATATTTTTAAATAGAGTTTAGAGACTAACTTTGCATCTTGAGAAAGTGACCAAACAGAAACTGAAAACATGTATGAATAATAACATAAAATCAATACAGAGAAATGAGTAAAAAATTATTCATACACCTAAGATATGCTTTAACACTAATCGCATAGTATAGATCATTATGAAAAAAAAATAACAGACATTTTTAACCGACAACTAGATTTCATTTAGTAATATATAAAAAATGAATAATAAGTAAATAAAGTGTCTTTAGTATGATATATTCATTCCTTGTAATAGTATCCATGATTCATCAGAAAAAAATGAAGGATAAGATAGATAAGGCACTAAAATAGTTCTTCTCTATTTTTTATTTAATTAGATTATTTTTCTTTCTTTACACAAGGGTGTGAGTATGGATGTGAATGTGTGTGGGTGTCGGTGAAGGGAAAAAAACACTAACACCCACACCCCACATCCTGTTTCTTTCATTCGGTCAACGGCATAGTCTAGTTCCAAGATTTGCCAGATCTAATTCACCTACAATATCTAGAAATGGTCACAGATCACGTGTCAGATTGATCAGACTTATCATGTCTGCTAGATACGATGAACCCTGAAATTGTTTGGCGCAGTCAGCGAAAATCACAAACAGACTGTCAAATCTGATAAAACTCGAAGACTGTCGGCCAGATTAATCGAACGTACCTTGTGTGTTAGATCTGATAAAGTGTCGCAGCGTTTAATGAGCGCCGCAGAAGCTACAACCAAACCACCAAATGTGTCACCTCATTTATCGGTTGATCTTTAGAGAAGTTACCGACAAAAGCTACAAACTATACCAATTCTATCAGATCTGAAAAAATCCACGGTCAGTCTGTCAAGTCTGAAAGAATTTCCAGGCTGTCTGCTAGTTCTAACAGTGACACGACATTAACGAGCAGAGATATTTTTTTCGAAAGTGAAAGTCAGAGTGGAAATGCACCTATAAACCACAACAATTCGGTGAGATTGAAAATGAAGCCCACACACAGAACGCATCCCTAACTTGAGGATGAGGGTAGACATGCACAAAAAGCAGGCAAGATCTGATAGACTATGGTAACCTATTGTAGATTGTTATAGGTCTGGCTATGCCTTAGTAAAGTTTATGATAACTACTAAATTCATCGATCTCTTGATAGATCTTATAGATGAATCTTTTCCTAAAATATATAGAAACTTTGAATTATATTGTTATCTATTTATATCATAAACTCTTTTAGATGTAAGTGTCGGAATGGTAGTATCATGCGCAGAATCGTTGGTGAACAAAAGACTGCCTATTAATTCTCAGAGAAACCACAGGCTACCTACCATATCTCACAGAATTCACAGACTATCTATGAGCTCTGATAAAAGCCGCTGACTACCTACAAAAATTTGACAGACAACTAACTAAAACTTTTTCACAGATACGTCCGAAAAGTGAGGAGAGATGGCAAGCTCTCCCAGCTCCCACACATCGAAAATCTTGGACAGAAGAAAGTCATCTGCCTTCTATCAATTAAGGACCACTAGAATACTTTTCTTCAGGCATCCAAAATCATTCAATACATAGTTCAAACAAATCAGAAAACCCTCCGACACGATTTCGATAGTATATTTAAAAAAAACAGGCAAACCTCGACAACACTTTGAAAAGTGGCTCAAAAAATAACTCAAAAATATTTCGATATTATATCGACAGAGAGCTCGATAAAGAAAACCTTTGTACCTCAAACAGCAGCTTGAAAAAGATACCGACAACATTCTGAAAAACATCTAGAAATATTGCTAGGTAAAATGTGGACTGCGGAAAGTGTGGAACATCGTTTACATGAATTTGGAGTTTACACCTCGTGGAGCTCACTGTACTTGATCAATTTCAGTTATAATCAGTCGGATTTATCGAACTATACGTGTCTCATCATCATATAAACTGATGCAGGAGGAATTTGATTTCATCAAAAACATAACACAACAAGACGGATATTCATACAGTTTCGTTGAAAATCAAATAAAATATACTCTAAATTGATATTTACACAAGCATAACACTAACATAATTAAGATCATAAATTAAAAAGAAAATATAACAGATATTCTAAATAATTCAAAAGAAATAAAAGATAAAGATAATACCATCTTTGATGTTCCATATGTTGGTAAATCAACAAAACAAAATTCATCAAGAACATAAGACAACTAACAAATTGAATTAAACCAAATACATCCATTATAGAAATTCAAAGACTGTCCTCCAAAACAACTGGTCAATTTTTCAATAATAAAGAAAAAGTCTCAAGAAACCTACAACCGGATTTAGTATATCAAATAAATTGTATCGGGTGCGATATATTGAATGGTCACATTTCCTATTTCAATTTTCATTCATTTAGTATACTGTATTCAAAAAACAAAATATACCATAAGATGCAGCTTGAAAAGCTCTACAATTTACTTAAGACTGCTTTTTTTTTATAGTTATACTTTTTTGTTTTCAAAATGGACAAAAATTCTGAGCGACTAAATATTGACCGTGCAAAAACGACATTTTTTTAGTATAAGATGAATTCATTCTTTCTTATTTCATCTTTTTTATAATTGTTCTTTGTAAATTATAGAGCTTATCACGCTTCATCTTGTAGTGTATGTTGTTTCTTTTTTTATAAATACCATTTGTTTTTAGAGAATAGTGACTTGCCTCAAAATGAAATAAAAAATATATCTAAACACTTCAAAAATACGCAGAAATGAATTGTCTAGCAGGTTCTGTGAGTTCCTCGGGAACAGAATTCAAACGAATGGGGAATCCTGACACCCCTACTCAACATCATCACATTTTAATTCGACAAGGATTGTGCTATCAGCTTTTGCTTTTAAATGCAGATTGAAATTAAGTAGGACATTATATACTAAGTACATAAAAAAATAGAACATGTGGGCCGTCTCCTTGTGAGAAAAAAAAACATGTTTCTCTTCATTCATGAAAAATATACTTTTTTTTCGTCGTACATTTCTCCTTCTTTATCTATCGATATATATATAAAGTCGACACACCACTATAGGACTATATCATTTACAAAGTTAAATTTATTCATCGACCAATCTCTTCTCAAGCATTGAATAGCAACAAAGGACAATGCAGAAGATTAGCCAATTGATTTGTTTGATCGTCTTCTTGGTATTGATGGCAATAAGCTGCAAGATACAAGCGGCGACAATTCTAGATGCAGATAGCAATGACTCTCCCCTTCATTTAATCGATAAACGTCAAAATTGTTATAATGGTCGTCCTTTTCCTGATTGTTGTTATGATGATTGTTGTAGTCAAATTCCTGGACTTGGTGAGTGGGCTAATTTTTGTTGTAGTGCTTCTGGTCGTGGTCGTTGTTAATCGTAAGAAAAAGCCAGGTTTGTGGTGTGGATATAATGTATCGATAATAACTGATCACTATTTTTTCTCTTTAAGACATATGGCACAAACACACAGCGACGTTGAAAATCGGAGTTTCTCATCAAATATTTTCGTTATTATCCTACACTGTACATTAGTTAATTCCATTCTCCCATGTTCTCGCTTATTTTTTCTCTCTATTTTTTCTCGTTTGTTCGCATTCTTCAATTCTAATAAAATATACATAATAAAAACATACCCTATTCGGCTTCTTGAGAACAACACCTATCTACAAGATAGTTTCATATTGGATTCGACAGCTATTCCGATTAATTTGAACGAAATTAGTCAAAGTTGAAAATATGACTAACGAGAAATTTAATTAGGACAAACGAGAGATTCATCTACGACTACAAAAATCATCAGTTAAAAGTGCATAAAATATCGATGGCGAAATTATTTCGAAATCAGAAGTGAACAAAATAGAAAGAAGAATTCACTTGAAAAAAATTAGATTTTGGATACATTTTTCTATCTATCGTAAAAGATAAGTTTTTGTACCTCGTATTCATAGCTTTGATCTTCTCGCGTTACGTTAACGAATATATGAACTATCTTTGGACATTGTTCTTAATTTGGGACAAGAAAGAAATATAATAACGGAACTTTATCATAGTCGAAATTTGTCCTAAGATCGCTACTCTCCCCACATCCACACCCAGATCAAAATGAACTACAGCTAGTATGGTCATATATGAGAGAAAAAGCCTTAGTAAGTATATCATCTTTTCAAGATTCCAGCCGTAGATCATCTACTCAAGTATAGCATTGGCTGCAAAAAGTAAGTAGAATAACAAGTATAAGTTTTTTCGTGAAAATAAGTTATCAATCATTGAACGGATACTTTTTATCGCTGACAAAATTTTAAAACAAATCTCAGTTAAATCTTCAAGATCATTTTATCATTCTTCGAAACCTATTAAGATTCGTTTATCCTCATTGAACATGAATTATTTATGAGCCTTATTCAATTCAACTATGCCGTATGGTTACCATTTCTTGTCTATATAGAGTAGTACGAAAGTATTATTTTTCTTTTTTCGTTTTTTGATGCAAAGAGAATGGGTGTAGGTATGGATGAAAGTAGATCACCCACACTCATGTCTAGTCTGTCCTAAATCGTAGTATTGATGTGTACAAGAGTCATGTCGCGTTCCATCGATAGACATGTAATATATATCTTTCTCAACTGAACTAAATGCACAATGTATTTGATTGCTCTTATACGAGAAATTAACCAATTCTCTTTCTTTCTCTCGTTGGACTTGAAGCTTGACTTTGTCGTTGTTTTTCTTCTGTACGTTTTACATGGCGCTTGTTCGCTAGAAAGTGTTTTTTTTAATTTCTGTCCACAGTAGCACAAACTTGTAGTAGAGAAAATTAGGAAGGTAAAATCTTCAGCTCGATGACAATTATTGCAATGAATTGTAAAAGTTTCTAAAAACCTGTTGAATATATAACATTCTTCATTTGTTTCATTTTATGAGTAAAGAAGAGTGATCGTGAAACATGTTATCGATTGTAAATTGTAGAATTTATATATGAATCGAATGAATCAGAATATTCCACGAGCATATTTGCATGAGATGTTCAAGATTTTATTGAGATCAATATGTTTGTGATAAAATCAGATAATGTTTTCAAAAATATAAAGTAAAAATTTTTCGATTATTTTCATTATAATAAGAAATCATGCTTATTTGTATGATTGATAGTGCAGAGAGATATATAATATGATGACGCTTATTTCCGGATAAATACCATGACGCTATTGATGATACTTGAGAAAGAATACTCAATATAATAAAAGCAAATACATTTTTGCTTTCTGTATTAAATATTTTTATTCTATAACATCATTTAATTGAAAATAAATATTATCAAGTATCCTATTTTATAATGGTAATGCTTGTAGATAGTCACCAAAAATACGACAGCATTCACTTTGAAACTTCGATTTCAGTTATTTTTGAACAAATGACTTTACACAGCTTAAGCTTAGCAAAAACATGCGGACTAGTGGGCTACAGTTCCATTCTTTGGAGTATGGATGTGATGGTAATTCGCTATGGAGGACTATATATGTATCGTACCAATCTAAGTCGAAGTCTTACGATGGCTGCTACTGTGTCAGTTGTTTAGATTCTAGTACGCATTAGTGAAGTAATGTTTTCTCTTAATTCGTAAGAAAGACTAGCCGCACTGGCACTGGTTAACGATATTGCAATTATTCTTGATGGCATCGCTCACACATGGTTTCCAAGTACGTATGAAAATCCATCGTTGCAGAAAATAAATCCGTTGGCAGTATGTTCTATTTCAAGATATGGATCTGGCTAGTTACTCTCCTTTGTCGGCATCTGTCTCTTTAATTTCTTATCGAATGTGACTTTTCTCGTATTACATATTAATCAGAACTGTAGATGACAGAATCCCAAAATCCATGATGAATACGATCTTTACATCTATAAACAAGATAATGATTGCGAAAATATGCTTATAGTGATAGAAAGAATTCTAATGTCTTTATTTACATTTGGTTTTCGTTTGACGAAGTCGAGATTGTGAATTCAACTTCAACTCATTTCTTGCCGAATTTTCTGAAAGTAGAAAGATTCACGACCTACTACTCCTTGGAAATTTTCCTTTGACAATAAGTTGTTCATCGTCACATATCTAAATCAGATTGTTTTTTTTTCTTCTTCTTTTCTTTTAATTCATTCAAATTACTTTGAAATCAACTGATATCCTATTATGAAAAGTAACAGGTGTACTAGAATAAATGTACTTCTCAATGTTTTTGGAATATCTCACTGAGATTACGACGCAGATATTTAAGATTTTTTTTTTCAAAAGATAGCTCGTACAATTCTCTTCTAAACTGTATCGAAAGAACTGTTCTAACAAATAACTACTGAATTATATCTAATGAATACTATTGTGCTAAAAAATGGCGCATTTTTAGGAAATGATGTATTCGATTTTTTTCTAAAAAATCATAGATAATTAACTCAATTCGAATGCAAGTTTTCTGTGTTTTCGGATGTGCTCTTTGTAATTGTACGTAAGAGAGAGTGTGGGCTGGAATCATCGATTATTCTTGTTATGCACTTCAGAAAAACACTTCGAAGAATTCTGCTTGTAGCGATATAATGGATAAAACGTTTTCGTTCAACTTAATAATAAACTTGAAAGTATAATCATTTTTTATTTATGAGAAAAAAATTGAAATTGTGATGATCTTGAATAGAAGATGTTCAGAACGCAGATGGAAAGAAATAAATATAAGGCTCTTTTGAAGTAGATACATAATATGCCAGAACAGGTATTTGTTAAATCAATAGAACTTTTTATGGACTAAAAAATCGTCTATTCATTCTTTTTATATGGGACTGAAAGAGCAGTACAAAAGTATTAATATGGAAATGATTGAATTAAAGATTTCGTAGAGAGTTCTACGAGTTATCTTTTGAAAAAGAAATCTCAAATATCTGCGAGATATTCCAAAATCATTGAGAGGGACATTTTTTTCTAGTACATCCGTTAATTTCCAATCTCTTATTCCATTGAATTTTATTTCTTGTCTTTCATTCGGAGCACTAAAATTACCGTCTGTCATATAAGTAGAGTTGTTAAATCAATATTCACAGGCAAGCTGGTTAATTTTAGTAATCATATTTAACGCTAACCAGTTTTTTTTTGTAAGAAATTCAATTTTTCTATATTTTTTCGTGCATCGTCATTTAATATAATACGTTTTGTTTGTATTGCTGTGCTCTACGAACCAACAGAAAATGTTGAAAGACAACAGAATAAAGATGTGGGTGTGATCTTAACTTCTCTAACATCCCCCATATCTATACCCTCGACATTTTGTGTCATTACTTTTGCATTATATATTATAAAAAAAAGCTTCCGAAAGACATTTAATGATATTTTCATGTTTATATCGCTCTTATATTTTAAATTAGAACCTTTATTTTTACTCAATAAGTACACTTTTAAATGTTCTTTAAAATGACTATTTATTTGTTGCAATTATTTAGATGACTGCAAAAATATATCAGTTACAAAAGTTTTGAGAACTTTTTTTTTCTGTACTTTACTTCACATCGAAAAATAAAAATAAATTACATGAAATTACACAACAAGCATTAAATATGAAAAGGCTGGATTAAATGCAACAGTACTATCAATTCATAATTACATCATTTTGAATCTAACCATGACTTTCTTGGATATTTTGTTGAAGCCCATGTGAATTATCAACATATGGCGTTTGTATGCTTTTGAGAAGAATTGTTTTATCACCATCACTATGTTCAATGTTGGACAACTGGCTATAGTGCTTGATAAGCCAAGTATAACCTGTATAGATCCACGTGCCAAGAATGCCTCCAACAATTGGACCTATTATCGGTACCCAAAAGAAGCAGTTATGTACGCGAAATACATTATTCCAACCATAGACAAATGCTCCAAACAGACGTGGACCAAAATCACGAGCCTGAAATGTAAATAAGAAAGGGAATAACACTTTGTAGATCAATATATACAAACAGGATTAAGTGCAGCTCCAGCATTTACTGAAAATGCACAAGTCATGATTGTAACAAATATCGTAAATGCAAATGGTTTAGCTACTTCCGAAATCATATGATTACAGTCCTATATAGAATGATGAATTAATCGATTATCTATTCCAATTTGCCATCTTACATGTGCTAATGCCATGATAAAGATCATCAAACAAGCTGTACTAACAACTTGATCGATAAATGTATTCCATTGAGGTATACCATTGGAAGGCATTGTGAAGAAAATATCAGCTGTACCATTAGGACCTGTCATTTGTCGTATACCACCATCGAATACATTAAATTGACTAAAGAAGACAAGATAGACAAAGAGAGCACCTAAAAATGCACCTAATATTTGACCGATAATGTAGAAGATACACTGTAATGGTTTGAGCTTGCCAATAGTCAATAAAGATATGCTTACAGCTGGATTGAGATGTGCACCTAGAACGATCGATACAGAGT